GTTGGAGGTCACTCAGTCTCCTCTGCTGCCCCTAAAGTGTGGAACTGCCTTCCCCCAGTGGTTCATGTTGGCTCCCTGTTATTATGCAAGCAAGACCTCTGCCCATAACTGACTGCCTCTAATATTAGTGTGCCCACTTTCCATACAGCATCTTGAGATACAGTAGCAAGTAGTCTAAATGTATGCCTGAGACGACAATGGTAGTATTCCACTGCATGCAGTTGGGGAGTGACAAAGAGCTGTACGCAGAAGATGATGACACTTCATTGAGAGAGACTGATGCAGAAGTGAAGTGGGAAGTCTTGAGCCTAGACTTGAGGGTTTCCATGGTTTCCACAGCCAGATGGAGGAAATATGTATCACAACATATTTCTTAGGCATTCGCTCTTGTGCTGTTTTTCTCTGTGATATTTTCAGGTTGTACCTTGTATTCTTTGGCACGTCCGTGAGTTCGTTGCACGTGCTTGGAACTCATTGCCTTAAGATGCTCCCAGCACATGGAGCGAAACGTCGGACATGATTGATGCAAAACAACATGCTTTCCAACGTGATAACGTGTTTAGAGACCTTTGCGTTTGTCGTGTTTGCTATTGAAGATCATTTGATAAATAAAATGCCAGCAACGTAATCTTCCGTAGGCGTGCGTCATTAATCTTTGCTTGTTTTGTTTGTTATCTGCGGTAGGCCAGTTCGCAGAGAACGAAACAAACGAGGTGAACTTCCGCGAGATCCCCTCGCACGTCCTCTCCAAAGTATGCATGTATTTCACTTACAAGGTGCGCTACACAAACAGCTCGACAGAGATACCCGAGTTCCCCATCGCTCCCGAGATCGCTCTGGAGCTGCTGATGGCCGCCAACTTCTTGGATTGTTAGACGCGCTTTGACCCGCACGGGGCGCTGTCCGTCGCTCCATCGCTACGGCGCCGGTTTAATTTTTTGTTGTGTTTACCACAGGATTGTTTTTCACTGCAGTATTTAACCTCCACACTGGGTTTTTGTTTTTTTATCTGTTGTTAATCTGGCAGTGGCAGTGCGGAATTGAGCTGCGTATATAATACAGTTGTTGTGAAAACCAAACTTTGAAATGTCTTCTCCTAGCACATTTCAGCACTGTAGTTACTCGGGTAACATACGACACATTTAATGCCATTTTAAAACATTTAGCATCGCAAGTAATGTCACGTGCATTTGAGTTTATCAGTTTAGGAGATGGCTATTGATTTTTTTCAGTCATGGTAGGAGTGGCACAGAATGTTATTTATAATAGATTGAAATATATATTAAAATGTAAAAAAAAACATTGCGTGTGGGTGTAGCTATGAAAATTTCAAAGTTTGGTGATAAGAGCAACTGTTTTTATTTTTTTTGCCTTCAGTCAAGCAATAGTTATCTCCTGAAAGGAACAGATTTAAGTTTTAGTTGCAGTGGTTAAAGAGTTTTCTTTTTGGGTCATTGTTGATTTTTTTTTTGTTTTTGCCACTAGGTCGTTGAAGCTCATTGTTTTATAATCGCTTTGTAATTCTGGAGTCAATGTGTACACAACAAAGTCCCCTGCTTTGCCTAGTTTAAAATTACTGAGGAATGCATAAACGTGTAACAACTGGACGTGATCGCCTCACTGACCCTGCTAATAAAAGCACTCGGTTAAAATTTGTGACAGATCCCCTTTCCCGCTGCACGCCAGATGGGCACGCGCATCTCGTGTTTGCCTGAGACCGCAACCGAATTTGAAATGAGGCGCTTGTATGCACCCAAAGAAATCCTTTGGATTTCTGAGAAATCCTGATGCTTTGGTATGTTTTTGGGAAAAGTCTTGTGGGAAGAAACCTGAGCACCCAGAGACAATCCTCCCAATATGAAGGGATCAGGTCAAATGTCAGTGATCTCACATGAAATGGGTGTGGGCAGCGCGCTCATATGTTGTGTACACGCCTGAGCCGGTGGTGAAAATTTTGCATGTCTATGGTGAGGGGGGAAATATACCCGTGAAAGAAAAGGGATAACGTGAAGAAAATCTGATGCCTGTTGGTACCACTTTGTTTCCCACTTTTCCCTGTAGGTGGAAGTCTTGTGCACATAATTGCCAATGACCTATCCACCAAGCCTGTCTCATATTAAAGTGCTGCATTATAGGAACATGTCACATCTTTCACATCCAACATTGCCAAAGTGTGCAAATAGGAAGGGCCTATGTATATTTGGCAGACTTTATTGGGAACAAGTCTGGCAATGCCCAAACATGCATCTCAATGTAAATTGCAGTTTTCTGATACTGCATTGGCAGTAGGGCATATACACATGCATCAATAACACTTACCGGAAGAGGAAAAGGTCGAAAAAGTTGTCATTTTGAGCAATGATCCTTCTCTGCCTTGAAGAAGGGACCATTCCCCGAAACGTCATCTGTTGTATAATTTTACCTCTTTCGGTGAGTGTTATTGATGATTTTTAATGTAATGTGCTTTTTGCGCATCATAAAAGCGGTCTATTGTTCCCGGATTGCACCACAGGAATGAGCGTGAATTAAAATGTGCGCAACAAGGGTCAAAGTGATGGAAGTTTGTGGTCGCATTTTTTTTGGGCTCCGTGCACAACACTTGCCATTTAAGTATGGGGCCATCAATTTCGTACGTACGCATGGAGGGGGCGGTTAACCCAAATGCGTACTCTTGCGTATGGGAGGGGGGGGGGGGTCTACTGACAATGTACGTACGCATAGGAAGAGGGGGGGGTGAAGCCTCGATAATAATTTGTCTACATTTGTCTTCAAATGAGCCACAATTCAGTTTCTTCAGCTGTCAGACAACAAGTACTACCAGGAGCAGTAGGACTGGGAGAGGTGTCACTTGTATGCCACAGTACCCCTGACTGCTAGCTATCGCGCATCTCCGCAAAATGTGGCCAAGGTACGCATCTTAATTATTTAATGCAGCCGTTTGTGGACTATCTGTTTGCTTACACACGTTCATATTATTAATCTTTGATCGTTTCTGCGTGGATTAATTAACGGCCGTTCTTTAGGATGGGGTAGTGGGGGTTCGTCAAGCGTACGTACGCAGGTGGGGGGGGGGGGTAAAAAGTGCGTGTGCGTACAGGGAGGGGGGAGGGGTCAAGTTTTTACAGATTTTTGCGTACCTACTAAATGGATGGCCCCTGTGTATGTCTGATTAGGGGTGAAGAGATCCATCGGTTCATCGAATAATGAATCTTCAGCTCAATACGTACATCAGTGTTTTCAGTTGGTAGATTATAAATGGGTTCACGTCACCCCTGCATCCGCTGGAGGCACTGCTATTGACTAATTAAAAATAACGATCATAGAATCTCATCCCTAATCAAATTACACGTGCGTAATGTCGACAATAGCACGCCGAGTGCTCTTAGCAGAGCAAAAGCAAGACAAACCTGTAAAATGACACTGCGCTTTAATGTTAGTGAATGCCAGTTACGCAACACGAGGCTGGCAGCAAAGCCGGTAATCCATTGGCTAAGCCTGTTTTTGTCCCAATCATTTGTGTTTGTGCATTTTCTCACACAAGCATGCTTGACACTGGCAACGTAAAAAAGTGTGTTTAAGAGACTCCACTTAGCCTTGATTGGCAACAGAGCAAAATTGAACACCTGAAATGAATGAATGCAGTGATCTGCTTCATGCTGGTAGTCGTCACACTCGTAATGACATTTTCTCGAGACTCACACAAGGCTATAATTGATCCAATCTTGTTAAGGATTTGGTCTAACGCACTGACCGTTTCGTCTCATCCATACTGTTCCACCACCACACTGCAGGTCAAAGGACTTCTGCTTATTCCCTCGCACTTCTCGACATTGGGGATTCCCTCCGATCGTCACCACATTCTTTGATAACCTTGCACAATTTCAAGAAACGTGTCAAATGGTGTCTATTTCAACTTATTTGTTGCCGACAGCTTGGTGTTTTGGGCCTTTCATAATACTAATAAACTCATATTATACGGTTATTTTGGTAAAGTTACGTAGATATAAAAAATAATAACAATAAAATAGCCCCGCCCACTTCGCTTATGACCCTTGGGCAACACCCATCTCAAACCTTTACAACATCCTGCCTCAGCAGCTCTCGCTATGTTTAACCTGATGACGATTGCTTGTGTTGCGATCGAAACGTCGTGATATTTTTTTTATTTTTTTGCTATCTACGTGGCTTTACCGAAAGACCCAAAGAATATGAAAATAAAGTGAATGAAAAATATCGCGACGTTTCGATCGCAACACAAGCGGTCGTCATCAGGAACAGGGAGGTTAGTCTCCGAGGGCAAGCTGTTTATAAAGGTTTCGAGATGGGCGGGGCAGCTAATGTTAATGTAGGACAGGGGTGGGGAACGTCCGGCCCGCGGGCCGTACGAGGCCCGCGAAATCATTTGGTGTGGCCCTGCCAAGGCAACCGCAGGCAGGACTCGAAATTCAATAAATCTAGGAGCAAACTTGGAAAAGCAGTTGCGAGTTGCAACATCATCAACACCAGCTAACATCACACGCTTCGCCAAAGAGAAGCAGTTCCAGCCATCACATTAGGGGTGAGTTAATTAAATGTTTGACCAAATATAACAGGCTAATTTTTAAGTTGATAATTCTGTATGGCCCGCGAATGATGTTATAAATATCCAAATGGCCCTTGGCAGAAAAAAGGTTCCCCACCCCTGATGTAGGAGAGAGCTCCAACACCAGCAGTAGGTCTACACCAATCAAAGCATTGATCCTCGCTCCACACACCCACACTGCTGACTGTTGAGGTTGACAAGAAAACAAATCAAGTCATGACCCACAAGGTGCAATGCTTTGGTGTAGACCTGCTGGTGTGGGAGCTTTCTCCTACATTAACATTAGCTGCCCCGCCCATCTCTAAACCTTTATAAACAGCTTGCCCTCGGAGGCTAACCTCCCTGTTCCTGATGACGACCGCTTGTGTTGCGATCGAAACGTCGTGATATTTTTATTCACTTTATTTTGATTATTTTATTATTTTTTCTATCTACGTGACTTTACCGAAAGAACCATATAATATGAATTCCTGCAGTCACGAAAGTTTTCAGTAAAAAAACTAATAAACTCAGTTTTATAAAGCGCCTTTAAAATCGATAATCTCAAAGCGCTTTTATTCTGTCCTCAACCAATATATATTTAAACTATTTGAGCCCAGCATCCTGAGTAAATGTATTCAAAACATTTCCAGAAACGTTTTCAAGCAGCATGTGCGTGATCACATGATTGATGCCTTGGGCTCGTGGGAGTCTCTCGATCCTGATTGGCCGAAAACCAAATGTTTCTCGATGGAGAAATGTAATTTAACATGAAAACGGATTTCCCCATGTATGCTAGGCATTATAATACACTGTTCGAGTGGCAAGATGATGTTTAAAAGCTATGCAACTTCATATCATGGGCCCAAACTCAATGCGTCTCGATTAGGTATGACATGATATGGCCCACCTTGCTGTTTGATGAATTTTTATAATTCGGGGTCACGATTCAATTATGTATTTTTTTCAATTGTGAAAGTAGATATGTTAGTGGCTCCATGGTTTACATGAACGCATTGCATAAAACATGCACGTGTCAAAAATGTATTCCCATATATTTCAATGCATGTTTTCTGAGTATTGTACAATAATTGGTTCATCATTCCATGCCCAGTCTCCACACGTTCCCCACACCGGATGATTTCACAAACACAGTGGCCAGACCACCCAGACTTCCCACATGCAGGACCATACGGGTCTCCACCACACCACATAGTGTATCTACACTGGGGTGCCACCGTAGCAAGATGTTAACTACCTCACCTGGTATACAGGAGGTTGTGAGTTTGATCCCGACCCTGACGCCTGCTGTATATTTGGATTTTGCATATTCTCCCCGTGTTCGCGTGGATTTTTCTCCGGGTCCTCTGGTTTTTCCCTCCACATTTAGAATCATGCGTTTATAGAGTATTCGATTGCTATAAACTCCCACTTGATAAGCCACATCGTTGAGCTATAATGTGTGACCAAGTCGCTCCTAAAAAAGAGCTATATAGCTCAGTGGGCCTAAGCTAAAAAAATAAAAGTTTCCTACACTGCGTAGTGGTTCCAACCAGGGGAAGTGTGGTTGGCATGCGCCCTGGTGTAAGAAATATAATTTGCTGCCTCTATAGCCTGGGCCCCCTATGGTCTGTGGTAACTTGTGCAAGTCGCACCGTCTGCACATTGAGTCACGCCACCGTCTCCCACAACCCAAGGCTTCTTGGTTTCCAACAATCAAAACAAGCGTGAGAACGATTGTGAAGTTGAGGGAATAGTAGCAGCTTTGGGAACCTGTGAGTAGCCGAGGAGACCCATGACATGAATTGAGGCACATCGGCAGCTTTTTTAAAGTTGTGGGTATGAGAACAGATACTAATTTAGTCCCTAACTCCAACGAACACTTTACCCATTTGTCTCCCAAAGTTAACCTCGTGGATTCTCCCTCGCAAGCTGTGATAAATTGTCGCTATTCGGGGTCACAATAAAATTTGCTTGTCATGTATTACTTTAGCAGACGTGGTGTGTGTAGAATCCATCGTGGTGTGAAAGGTCCAGTTCGTTAGATCGGCGTGGCCAATGCCTGTTGATACCACCCACACCTCAACATCAATTCCTGCTGCTCGGTGATTGTAGATTTAAAGTCGACGACATTAGACCTTCGAGGTAATCTCTTGCAGAATCCTACTGCCTTGTAGGTACACGTGCAACCCTCTTGTCGGGCCACTACTCGATGAGGGCCTCTACGCCATTGCAGGTCGTGAGGGTTATTTGACCTTACCGCACCACGCTGATCTGTGTAGGTCGTGAGGGTTATTTGACCTTACCGCACCACGCTGATCTGTGTAGGTCGTGAGGGTTATTTGACCTCAGAGCACCACGCTGATCTGTGCAGGTCGTGAGGGTTATTTGACCTTACCGCACCACGCTGATCTGTGTAGGTCGTGAGGGTTATTTGACCTCAGCACCACGCTGATCTGTGTAGGTCGTGAGGGTTACTTGACCTTACCGCACCACGCTGATCTGTGCAGGTCGTGAGGGTTATTTGACCTTACCGCACCACGCTGATCTGTGTAGGTCGTGAGGGTTACTTGACCTTACCACACCACGCTGATCTGTGCAGGTCGTGAGGGTTATTTGACCTCAGAGCACCACGCTGATCTGTGTAGGTCGTGAGGGTTATTTGACCTTACCGCACCACGCTGATCTGTGTAGGTCGTGAGGGTTATTTGACCTCAGAGCACCACGCTGATCTGTGCAGGTCGTGAGGGTTATTTGACCTTACCGCACCACGCTGATCTGTGTAGGTCGTGAGGGTTATTTGACCTCAGCACCACGCTGATCTGTGTAGGTCGTGAGGGTTACTTGACCTTACCGCACCACGCTGATCTGTGCAGGTCGTGAGGGTTATTTGACCTTACCGCACCACGCTGATCTGTGTAGGTCGTGAGGGTTACTTGACCTTACCACACCACGCTGATCTGTGCAGGTCGTGAGGGTTATTTGACCTCAGAGCACCACGCTGATCTGTGTAGGTCGTGAGGGTTATTTGACCTTACCGCACCACGCTGATCTGTGTAGGTCGTGAGGGTTATTTGACCTCAGAGCACCACGCTGATCTGTGTAGGTCGTGAGGGTTACTTGACCTTACCGCACCACGCTGATCTGTGCAGGTCGTGAGGGTTACTTGACCTTACCACACCACGCTGATCTGTGTAGGTCGTGAGGGTTATTTGACCTTACCGCACCACGCTGATCTGTGTAGGTCGTGAGGGTTATTTGACCTCAGAGCACCACGCTGATCTGTGCAGGTCGTGAGGGTTATTTGACCTTACCGCACCACGCTGATCTGTGCAGGTCGTGAGGGTATGATCGTAAAAGAGCAATGGATATTGTTTGACGTCTCTCTGCTGCCTGTACCTACCTGTTGTGCATGGTTGTCACCCATCCAAACTCTATCCAGGCCCAGAACTGTTTAGCTCCCATCAGCTGATGAGATCAGGCGCATTCCGGCTTATTTATCCATGTAACTCTCGTGGTTTAAAAGGTATAAACAGGTTAATAAGTACGGTAATGCATTTGTACGTGTATTGTTTGAGGCGTGTATCGTGAAACAATCTGAAATTAAAGGGTCTGACTTTCCTCCACACACAACTTTGTCTAATTCGTGAAGTGTTGCTCAACATCGGACGTTGCATAATGCATCATCTTAGCTTGTTTTGGGACGCGGTTACAAATGACCCATCCACTTACACTCCGTAGTCGCGCAGGCTGTGAAGGCCCGAACCCCACACCCACCCTCCCCTGTTGCCTAGTTGGCCAGCCCAAGGGGCCCCGACCAAATAAGGCAAAACAAATCTTGGCACGAGGATGCATTTGGCCCTGCCTATGAATGAAAACAAATCAGGCTTTGCAAGAAAAAATATAAATAAATACAACGAATAAAACGTAGGTCTGTTGCTTTCATTTATATATACAACAAAAAAAAACGTGATCGCCGATTCAATATTTAAATGCATTTTATTCATCCTTTGCACCGCCACGTGACCCATACCGTCCAATCACGCTGCCGTTGTTGCAACGAGAACCAAATATAACCTCGTGTCAACTATATTTTTTATATTTTATGAGTCACCCGCAGCTCTTGTCACGGCATTCTCAACGAAACGCCGGCGGTTCAACTCGATCACCTTTTGATTTAAAGCTTTCGTGACTGCAGTAATTCATATTCTTAGCTCTTTCGGTAAAGTCACGTTGAAGGGAAACAATAAAATAATAAAATAAACTTTTCTAGATTTAAAGCTTTCGTGACTGCAAGGATCCATACTCTCTGGTTCTATTCACGCCAGTGCTGTCCTCCAGACAGTCTCGTCCCTTCATCTGATGAAGGCCGCTTGTGTTGTGGCCGAAACGTCGTGATTTTTGTTATTTTATTTTTTACCTACGTGACTTTACCCAATAGAACCAGAGAGTAATAAAATAAACTGCCAAATCGCTGCGCGTGGCGCTGACATTTTTTTTTAATAAATAAATACACCGTTTAAAAATAAATACATTTATGCAAACCGACACACCTGATGACGACCGTTTGTGTTATGGTCGAAACGTGAGAATTTTTTTGTTTTATATATATTTTATTATTTTATTGTTTCCCTTCAACGTGACTTTACCGAAAGAGCTACGAATATCGATCATCTTTGCGGCGTGCATGCGAGAGCAGGGCCCACTTTTGGCTTTTGTTTGTTTTACCTCCCCCAACTCCACATCTTCCGAGCATCTTTATAACACAATTTTTGTTCCAGTGTTATTTTTAATTGCTTATGCCTAAAAAGTAAAGTATAGAAACTAAAAATAGTATAAAAACTTGCTATTATTCCCAACAAACTTTGCTTTTGTGACCAGGACTTTATGTGAACGAAAGACACAAATGCACACGTTTTCTCATTGAAAATAGGTAAATTTCAAAATATCACTGTACTGGTCACAAAAGCAAAGTTTGTGGGGAATAATAGCCATTTTCTGTGCTTTTGAGGCATAAGCAATTAGGAAATAACACTTACTACCCAGGAACAAAAACAATTGTTTGTGTTATTAATGGAGTGGATTATTAACTTTGCTTGTGTGCCCTGGTCACAAAACAAAGTTTGTGCGGAATAATAGCCATTTTCTGTACTTTTGAGACATAAGCAATTAGGAAATAACACCACCCAGGAAAAAAAAATTTGTTACACAGTGTAATCGGAATATGTGGACCATTGTGTGCGCATTCGATTCCCAACATCGCAGCCCGTTTACGTTCGTCCCATGAACACGGGTCACAAACCCTTCTTTGACCGCTGCACCGCGGTTTCTGTACAAAAACTCAACTGTATTTAACAAGATTATACGGCTTACCAAAAATACATCAAGTAGATACACCCCTTCGTCCCATCGTCTCTACTATCAACTCCCCCATCTACAAACTGGCTCGTTTTCTGGCTGAAATCCTGCGGCCTTTCACTGGAAAAACCACCTCTGCGGTACAAAATTCTACTCACCTGGTATCGACAATCAAGGGTATTTCCCTTCCCCAGACGATCTGCTTGTCAGTTTTGATGTAGTTTCCTTATTCACCAAAGTTCCTGTACCTGACACCATCGCAATCATTGAAGACTTGGTTCATCAAGGACTAAACACTGAGGTACCCCCCCTGGTGAGACACTGCTTAACCAATACATACTTCACTTGGAATGGAACTTTCTACAAAAAAACTGAGGGCACCCCAATGGGCTCCAACCTATCTCCGATTATAGCCAACATTTTCATGGAGAAATTTGAGACTGACGCCATCCAGACTGCCACTCTGCGCCCAACCTTATGGAAGAGGTACGTGGATGACACTTCTGTCATCTGGCCACATGGCCGGCCTGCTCTAGACCAATTCTTCGACCACATCAATTCCATACACCCAGCCATCAGATTTACCATGGAAGTCGAAAAAGATGGCAAGCTACCTTTTTTGGATGTCCTAATAAAAAAGAGACCTGATGGTTCAATGAGCCACTCTGTCTACAGGAAAGCTACCCATACGGATGCTTATCTGAAACCGGATTCCCACCACCATCCATCACAGAAGAATTATCTCATCAAGACTCTGCACCATAGAGCCCAATGCATATCCAACCAGGAACACATAGGCAGTGAACTCAAGCACGTACACCAAGCTCTTAAGGCTAATGGTTACTCCGACTATACAATCCGCAAAGCTATCACTCAAACCATGAAGAAGGACCCTCTTGAGGAGCCTTTCAAAACCATCACTTTACCCTACATTGCTGGGATCACAAAAAAGATCTCCAAAATCTTGAATAAACACAAGATCCAGGTCCGTTTCAACACATTACATAAAATCCGTAATCTGGTTCCGTCTGTAAAAGATGTGATTCTGGACATACAGTACCCTGGTGTCTACAAAGTTGCCTCTGTGGTAGTAGTTACATTGGAGAAACCAAACGACATGTCTCGGACCGCATTCGTGAACACAAAGCAGACCTGAAACACGGTAGGACCAACACCTCGGCCGTGGCAGATCACTGTTATAATTCAGTGGGCTCACATGACATTGACTTCTCCAAGACAGAGGTTCTTTGCAAGCCATCGGGCTACCATGAGAGATTCGTTCATGAGGCTATCCACATATACAAGCACAGAGACAATTTCAACCGAGAAGATGGATTCTGGCTTAGCAATCATTGGAAGGATTTGATAAACCATTTCGGGTCTTAATTGATTGTTCACGCTTACGGTGGCTTTCAGACAGCATACATTAAATTTTCGTCTCCCCCCTCCTCTTTTCCGAACATAGATGGACTCGTCCTTCTAAACAAACTGTCTATCCATGGTGCCAACGCTTAAAAATAAATAAATTGCTTTGTTCGCTCCAGCGCTGTCCTCCAGACAGTCTCGTCCCTTCACCTGAAGGCCGCTTGTGTTGTGGCCGAAACGTCGTGAGAATTTTATTGTGTTATTTTATTTTATCAATTTATTATTTTATTCTCATTCGACGTGACTTTACCGAAAGAACCAAAGAAGAGAAATGCAAACACCGTTTAAATATAAATTAATAAATACAAACCGCCACTTCTTTCAAATGTTTCTTGCCGTTGGTTTTCACACCTGATGATGACTGTGTTACAGTCGAAACGTCGTGAGAATTTTATTGTTTATATATTTTATTATTTTATTGTTTTCCTTCAACGTGACTTTACCGAAAGAACCAAGAATATGAATCACTGCAGTCACGAAAGCTTTAAATCAAAATGTACTTAACAAGTCAATTTCTAAACGTTGCTTGCGAATCTTGACTCACAGCTTTCGTGCGTGACTGCAGGAATTCATATTCTTGGGTCTTTCGGTAAAGTCACGTAGATAGGTTCAAAGAAAATAACACAAAAATGACGAACGCTTGTGTTGCGATCGAAACGTCGTAGTTTTTAGTATTTTTTTAATTTTCTTTGAACCTATCTACGTGACTTTACCGAAAGACCGAAGAATGTTGCGATCGAAACGTCGTAGTTTTTAGTATTTTTTATTTTCTTTGAACCTATCTACGTGACTTTACCGAAAGACCGAAGAATATTGACCCAAGAATAATGTGAAAGGTCAGTTGAGTGGCGGGGTGGGGTGCTGCTGGCGGGGTGGGGGCTCGTTAGGGGGTGGTGGTTTGGTGGGGGAGGGGTAGAGGGGGGTGCTAGTGGGGGGGGCGAGACGGTGACGTTTGTCAGGAAACGGGAAGGGGACTAACTTCGCTCACGTGACCCGCGCTCCCATAATGCAGCGCGGCTTGGGAAGATGGCGTCCATGCAGGTGAGACCGGCGGCTCCGTCGTGGTTGGTGGTGGCGGTGGTGGGTGGGGGAAGTGGGACTTGAACTTGGTCGCCGCGGACTCGGCTGGCCGCCCTGCAACGCGTGGCGCGCTCGCCCCTCGCTTTGATCATCTCTTCGAACGGCGGGGCCGCAAAAAGCGGCGGAAGTTTAATGGGGGGGGGGGGGGGGGCGCGGTGGCCGCGGCCGACGCGAGTCGGGAGTCGGCGGAGAAGCCAGGCGAGCAGCGCCTCACCCGGGGGAGGGGGGCGGACTGGGCCGCAGTGGTAGTTTGAGGTTTTTTGGTGGTTGTTTGGTTTTAATTCGACTTCACTGGTGTGATGGTGGTTGCCGCTGTCACTGCCGTAGTCGTTGTTGGCAGCTGCTGGTGTTGTGGGACTAAAGGACCCCGCGTGTTTTTGTTCCGTTCCCGTAGCGATGGTAACGCCCCATTGGAACCGCCTTTGTTTAGGTAACGGTGGTTGTATAATCATTGTAAGGTCCTGAATTTTAGTAAGTGTTAAAAGTAGATACTTGCTTGAACGTCTGTTATGGTATTTACACAATGTTTAAAATAATGACGTTTAATAGTGACGATTAAATCCTTACTCCATGTACCATTGCGCGCAACTGATGGTGATACTATAACGTTTATTATAATCACAGTGGTACTATCAATATACCGTGTAATATAAATATATTAATACAGCAAAAAATAGTTGCGAGCAGTTTAATGGCATCACGATAATATTTACAGAGATGAGTTATACTATACTGAGCAATGTGCTAAAGTGAAGTGAAACAGCAATGGT